ATAGATCAAGGATATAATCGCCAAATATAAAATATAACATGTAATTAATGTCATGCTAAGAAGATAAGGCGAACAGTATTTTGGATAAATCGTGTTTCTTGGGGAATAAAGAAGGACAGGTGAGACAAAGGAGAAAGATTCTCCAGCAGTGTCGCACGAGTTTCTTCGCCACTGCAAAATGCCATTTCTCGGCGTAACGCACGCCAGGCTTAATTGGCGTCGCGGAATAACTCCCATGAGACGTCATTGTTATTATGAAGCTTGCTCTTCGCGCGATTCGTGCTCGTGTGACTCAAGTGAACGCCTGCCCAGAACCCACGTCACTTTGCTTTAACGACGCCACACGGATCCCACGATTGAGTAGACTATATAGACGACCGAAATTCGTCTACCCAAATGCGCTAAAGTGAACTTTTATGGGATATTTGCGAATGCTTCGCGGAACGTTAAATTAGGGTTAATCTCGTTAGCGCCATATCTCCGATAAAAACGTCGCGACGTACAACACACTTTTTTTTTTTTTTACGAACGTCGTGCGGTAGAGCTATATAGATCTGGAGAATATAATTAACACATTTAGCGCCGACGATAATTCTGTAGTTTCGCTTGCAGAGTCTGTGCTAATGGTTTGCTGCAACCACGCGAAAAGCGAGAGACGAAAGCGGCCAATAGCGAATACGTATAAGTTTTGAAATTTTATTGCAGTCACGTAAAAAATTATGTGAGAATATATTTGAAGAAATTTAAATTTAAATCATTGTTTTACATTACATTAAAGATACGATTATTTAGAAAAGAATTTTTTTTCAGATATTTATATAGATATATAAATTATTTTATTTCTTTTACGTAAAGAGTTTTATATTGGAAAATGTAGGGCGGAAAGATTAACAGAGAAATTCTCTTTTCTGAAAATACGACATTTTAATGTTTGCAGAGTGGAAAGCTCAGCGTTGCAGTTGGTGTGCCCGCTGGATTCTCGTCCGGTGCAGCTAATCTTCCGAGGATTGCAGGTGGTCAAGGAGAAGCGAGTGCTCCTTCGAGATGTTTCGGGAGTCGTCAAGCCAGGCGAATTATTGGCCGTTATGGGCCCTTCAGGTATGTAGTCATCTCTCTTGTATTAATTGATTTCACACATTAAATCTCGCGACGCGCATAACATCAACTATATTATCACAATTGTATTTAATAGTGATATAATTTTTTTTCTCATTTTAAAATTATTTTTTAGTTTTGTGTGTGTGTGTGTGTGTGTTTGTAGACATATATTTTTTTTTAAATATGAATATATAATCGACGAACGTAATAATTTCACGTACGTAATAAATTGTATGTTATATTTGTTTGAGTATGAAAACCGCCGCGTTAAAATTAATTAACAACAGCAGGAGTGTCGGTTATATTCTCTAAAAATGTACGAGTCAACATACACATTCAAAACTAAATTTTCGTATAAATTTGCATATATATATGTATACTTCATATCTATTAGAACGTTAATTGTGCAATGAGTGCAATATGTAGTTTCGAATTTATATTCTACTATATTCCTGCAATGGTTTTATTTTTTATCTCGCTCCATCTTTGAAGATGTATCGTTAATTACAAGTTCTCGAATACACTTCCATATTTCACGTTGTTCCACGCGGGTCTTAATCGCGCGGTGTTGCGTGGACACGTCGCGTGAAATTAAATCTGCGTTTCTATCTTTAACCGCTTTTATGCGCCCAGCAGTGAAATATATACCAGCCGGACGAAAATCGCCGGCTGGAATATTTATCGTTGCACGGTGAGAAAGTCTGTTCGTTTTTGACGCATCGTGCGTCACACGTGCGTCCACTAGAAATTTACCGATCTTTAAAAAAAAAAAAAAAAAAAAAAAAAAAAAAAAACGTTTTTTTTAATTTTACTTTTCCGTGTTTGCGGTTATTTTATTATTTTCGTCGTTAAATTGAGTTCTATTTCGACAGAAAATAAAATCTCAAAAATATGTTTGATTGCACGATTGATTTGTCCGGTTAATTGCAAATTCCAAACGAGTACAGAGTACCTTTGACGAGATCAAAAAAAAAAAAAAAATTACGCGTTTCGTTAAGTTTCAGCATTGTTTTCCTAATACGAAGGATAAAACTAACGAAATTAGTGTCTGAAATATTTAAGATTTCAAGCACTTGTTTAGCATGAAAATTCGAAGAACTAAAAACATAGAGATGCTAGAAATTTAAAAATATTGCTTGACAGATAGGCAAAAAAATCAATCTTTCACTTAACGAGGATATAAAATATGTACCCTGCAGAGTTTTTAACTCATTCAAACGCATTAATCAAGAATATTTTATCTAAGTTATACTTTACATAATAATTTCTTGTAACTCGTGTATAAATGATATTTAACATGACACGATGTGTGAAAGATATATTCGTTGAAACATAACGATGCTTATACGAAGGCGCTAAATTTTTGTCTGGCATATTTGTTACGCAGGCTGTGGTAAAACAACATTGCTGAACTGTTTGTCCGGCCGTGTTGGCTTGGACGGCGGTGAGATTTGGCTGAATCGCGAGAGGCTCACCAAACGATGGCGCAGAAGAATCTGTTACGTACAACAGCAGGACGTTTTTTTTCCCGATCTCACCTTACGACAGACACTCGAGGTAAATATAATCAAAAAATTGATATAGTAAGCGAATATTGAATACACCCAATACAGGGTTATATCAAACTCCTTGAGGATCACAAACTAGTTTTGCTTCTTTATAGATTTAAAAATTTGTTATAAATTTAAGGATCTTTAAAATAAATTTTTAATTTGAAAAATAATTTGTTTATATAATATTCAAAAATTTTAAATAGATATAAAAATTCATATACTTGTATATAAAAAAAAAAAATTAGTGAAAATAAAATGCACAAAACTGCACCATTGAGACGAGACAATTGCTGTGGATGCATTTCTATACTCGAAATAAGAGACAAAACGCATAACGATCGTAGCGTTTCCTCGTTTTCCTCGAAAATACAGGCACCAGGCGTGTGCCAAGACAGCCGCGCGCCTTTCACTCGATATTCATCACGACCCACGCGCTTACGGTAGGCGGGAATTAGGAGGACACCCTGCACGCAAAGATCGCGGAGAATGCAAATGCGGGCTAGAAGCCAACGCACTCCATCGCCGTTGCACTTGGGGGATTTAAGAGGTCTCGTGGAAAATGGACGCGGACAAATATGTGCTTTGTCGTTTAGTCACTAATTGAATAAATGTGTCGGTATACGCGCGCGTGTACATACGTGTATGTACGTACGCGCGAGCGAGTACATCGAGAAGAAAGAAGTCGCGTAACAAGCTGGGCACATGACTTTTTCTGCTTGAAGAAAAAATATATGTTCTAATATCTTTTATTTTTAATTTTGTGGTATTTGGAGTTTTTTTTTTTCTATTTTTAAGCGTGTATTAATTAAAAATATATAGTGACGAGACTTTTGAGAAATCAAAGATATATTATGGAGGTGATTGATTATTTTTCAATACATAATTGTGATGATATAATCAGAGATTATATATAATAGAATAATTGGCTGCTTTTAAGATAATCACGATTTTAAGTTACAAGTAGATTCAAAACGATAATTAATATTATCAAATAAAAAATGAATATTTAAATATATTTGTTTTATTTTTATTCAGATGTGCAAGATATTTCTCTAAGAACATATTATCCTGTATAAAATTTAAAATATTTTAATTTTCACGTAAACCAAATATACAAGAAAATGAATGGGTGACACAGTTTAACGGACGCGAGATTTATCTTTTTATCATCATCGCGCCACGTGTTAGGTGAAACTTTAATCCAACGCACGATCGATTATTAAAATCAGAAACGAAACTCCATATCTCTCGGCTCATCAAAATCACATATGATAGGCATAAAGAGAGAGAAAGAGAGAGGAGCGTATCACGTGCGGCGCCCACTCGCGTACTCGCGTACCCACCTCTATCTATACCCTATCTACCTACGCGGCACGCGCGTGTCACACGCGAAACGGCATAGCGACAAGAGACTCGATCTCGCAACGAACGCGTCGTGTCGTCGTTCGTCTAGTTGCGACCGTTAGCGGGGTACCAGGGGGGGGGGGGCTCGTGAGCTCGCGACGTGCGTCTTACGGTTTCAAAACGCCGCCTCTACATGCACGCACGCACGCACGCACGCACGCACGCACGCATACCGCACGCGTGTAGAACGGGCACGTCTCGATGCGCGGTGGCCGCAGTCCGCTTCTTTCAACGGGATGACACTTTCTCTCTCCCGTAGCCTCTCTCTGCTCTCCCGACCGCTTCCTCTCTCTTTCCGCGCGCTGGTTTCGCTTCTATTATCTACGCGGGGAACACGTTCCGTACTTGACGGCGAACTAGGCGAACGGACCTGGGAGTCTTGATTGCACGATCAGGCCTGGTTGTATGATTTTTAACCTTTAACCCGTAATAATCGTGAATCAGACTATCCCGTTCCTGTCAAAGTTGCGAGATTCTTCCTCTATTCAAATTCTTCATCGGCTATCATATTTCTTTCATAATTTATGATATTTTATTTAATGTTTAATTTAATCTCACATATATGGGGTATATAAATTTTAAATATTTATTATTAAAATAAATTAAAAGAGATCGCTTGAAATTGAATAAAAAAACTAAGATTGCACATTTTATCTGTATCTCTAAAGGTTGATCGTTCAAGAGTCCTCTAAAAATAAAGGGGTAAATTGTTCAAAGAGACCGGAAGAAGTTTCGCGGTCCAGTTCTATAGCCGGGTGTATTGTCGTTATCTTTATTTAGACATAACTGGTGTTCCCAGCGCGAGTATAATATCATCGACCGCGCACTTTCTCTCTCCGCATAACGGGCCCCGCTTGTGTAACGGCACGAGGAGAATGAACGTTGAGAAACGGCATGTCGTCGTAGCCCGGTCTCTATATCCGTACATGCCGTTCATCCATAACATCATCGCACCAAATTCCGATGACACATTTTTGAACGGATTTAGAAGTGACGTTAGTGAGTTATACGTTAATGAGACACTTTTTTTTCCTCAAATTTTTCGATATTTTTATACAACTTTAATTATATATATATTTTTCTTTGTAATTAATGCGATAATTTATAATATTTAAAAATTAAAGTTATATAGTAAAATTGTACAGTATTAATTTATATTTAATTAACAAATATGAATGTCTTAAGCAAGTTTTCTCTCTCGATATCACGAGCTTAATGCACTGAGATATATATATCGACAGATTGACACTGCAATGTTTCATTGACGAGAGTCGTTTCTGATTTCATTCAAACGAAAGATAAATCGAATTGAGATAATAAAATCGATAGGGCTCAAGGAGCCTACCTTATCCAAGATTACCTTGAGGTAATTAATCCTGTCACAGTTCTCGCGATAACACTTACCTATCGTAAGCGTCTCGGGATTGACGTATCACCAGAGGTGCTTTCGAGATAAACAAAGGCAAAACGATTTCGTAATTGATGCGTCGTCGTAATCGACTTAACGATCGGATCATAAGGGCTGCCGCCTCCCCCC